CTCCGCTCCCTTATGTCCTTCATTTCCCATGAAATGATTCAGCTTCAAATTATACACAGTCTCAAGAGGTGTCCTTTGAGGAGGACGGAGTGAAGACTGAATGGCATTAGCTATAGCTTCCCCTAATTGAGCAATATCAGGGAAACTAGGCTCAGCTGAGTAACGTGGCTCTCTACGAGGCGGTATAGTTCTGACATAAGACATCACAATGATTAGATCATTCACAAGATATACAAGACTGCTAAACCTAGGCTCTGATACCAAACTGACACACCCCGACCGAGATCGAGGCGTGCTGGCCATCACGTGAAGGTGACGTAGCCATGTGCACAGTGCAAAAGCGATAAGGATTAGAATTTTATGAATAAATAAAAACTGAAAGCTACTAATGTGCACTAATAAGCAGAAAGTGCTAGAAGCGAGATACAATAGTAAATACTCCTACTCAGAGCATAGAAAGTCTAGGTGCAGTCCAGTATGACAAGTACTAGTTATACAATACCAGAAGATATCCTACGAATATTTTATTCTGTCAGAACCGCCGAGATCCTCAAAGCCACCAACAGCAAGTCTACTTAAAACCTGGAGGGGGTGCAAAACAGAAAACGTGAGTGGGCAAAAACAAAGCTTTTCAAAATCATTTCATTTATCAAGTGCTCTAACCCTTCGCCGTAAAACATGTATAATTTTCTCAGAAAAAGAATATAAATAAATATATATATATATATATATCAATTCAAATCATTCTTCACATATTCATAATCATGAGTATGCCATGCCAAGATAATAACAGCATAAGTTACTCAGGTGAAAATAAATTCATGGAGAATAACACATTAGCCGGAACCCCTGCAGAAGTCTGTACGGCTAAATTCATAGCTCATTAGTCAATCTAGCCAAAGTCACTATAAATGATCTATACAGCACTACACTGCACACAAGTCGGAACCACTAAAATGTATGTACGACAAGACTGGGTGTAATATAGTTATGCTCAATACTACGCTCTCATGATAGATGTGCGATAAATTACTAGTCACCTATGAGTCGGAACCACCTATAATGGTATGTACGACAAGACTGTGCACCTAAATTGGATCCAATGTGAGCATATAGTGTGGGAGGTAACATTATAAACAAGCTTGTGCCATATCTTTGGCTAAATCACTAACACCGGGGTGAAGGTTTATGAGCTCAATGTTTCTCAATTAATCACAACCGTTATTCACATTCACAATTCATAAACTCACCTGGGCTTACCTGAGCGTTCACAACACCATAATTATATATAATGCATCATATACTAATTCATATACTGAACATAAATTTATATGCATGGCATTTCAAGGCATACTTTCATTTAAACGCATTTTCTGGGAAAATATCAAGTATATATGTATTTACTAAAAACCAAAAGCCCACTCACTGGTATGTCGAAGGGTCGTAGCCCCCGAGTCGCCCTTGACTGCGCTCATCCTCGGGATAAGTCTCCCCTATATGCGAAACAACTATAAAAACGTTAATTTAAAGCACATAACCAATACTAGCTAATAACTTCTCATACAATGCTCAAATGATGTGTTTGAATATACCAACGTGATCTACATAACCTCACGAACATCCCTATATTTTTAGAAAAATACACGATTTTACGATTGCATGAATAGTAACAAAAATCGGGTTAGGTTTTTCACGAGTTTTCGAAGAAGTTCTTACCTAAAAATGGTACTATTCAACTCGTATGAACCTCAGGAACACAATGGTGCCCTTTGAACCCTCGATCTATGCGTGTATGGTTGGTTTTGAAGTTCGTTCGTACGTTTTGTGCGGATTTTCTGAAAAATCAGATAGGGAGGAGAGAGAGAGAGAAAAGGCACAGGAGAGAGGGAGAGTTTGTGTGTGTGTGTGTGGTCCACGTGTGTCACCAACCAAAACCAAAGAAAACACTTTGAGTCCTAAGTGTTCCAAAACTTAGGAAAAATTTAGAATTTGTCCAAATAAATTTAAACTTAAACCACACCACCACATAACTCAATTATATCTCAACGTCCAAAAGCAATTTAGTAACTTCCACGTCATCGATAATTTATTTCGGGACGGGCTGACAATTTTTATTTGAACCCATATATTTTTTTTATTTGTACTTTTTATTTTGCTAAATGTACCCATGCTAATTAATGTACCCATTCATGTAAACCTTTTTAATCTTAAAATGACACACCCTGACCTAAATCGAGGCATGTTAGCCGTCACGTGAGGGTGACGTAGCCATGTGCACAGTGCGGAGGTAATGGAGATATAAAGAAATACGAGTAAACAAAAACCAATTCAACTAGAGTACTATATAAGATAAGGTGCAAGTGCGAGGTTAAGTGTGAAATACACCCTCAGAACATAAATAGCCTAAGTGCAGTCCGTCTGGACAAGTACTAATTATACAACACCCAAAGGTGATCCTACATTGTGATGTTCTATCAGAACCACCGTCGAAATCCCCGAGAGCCACCAAAGCACTTCGACCTAAAACCTGGAGGGGCGCAAAATAGAAAGTGTGAGTGGGCAAAAACAAAGCTTTCCCAAAATCATTTCATTTCTCAAAAGTTCTAACCCCTCACCGTAAAACCTGTATAATTTCCCAGAAAAATATATATAATAACAGAAATCATGCTCCGGATGAAAACCCATAAAAATATACCATGCCAAAGTATCTTAATGAAATGCCATAAGTAAACCAACTAAAATATATCAATGCCAGATATCATATCAGCCGAATCCAACTAACGTTACTTGCACGGCTGAGTATAGCTCATAACCAATCTCAATCATATCAAATTTTGCACACGAGTCGGAACCACCTAAAGTGGTCTGTACTACAAGTCTAGGTGTAAAATAAATATGCTCTAGTGCTACGATCACGTGAAGGCAGTGCGAATGATCGTGGGTCACCTACAAGTCGGAATCATCTAAAGTGGCCTGTACAACAAGCATGTGCACCTAACTTGGATCCAAGGTAAGCATATGGTGAGGGAGGTGAACATCACGTGAAGGACTGTGCCTTAACTCTAGGCGAGAGCACTAACACTGGGGTGCAGGTTTATGAGCTCTCAATACATCACATCATCTCTCACATAACTAAAGCAATCTCATATCTTTAATTTATGAACTTACCTGGCACTTACCTATGCGTCCGCAGCACCAATCATAATTATATGCAACTACTAATGCATAAATAAAATAGGCAGATACTTTGCATGACATTTCAAAACGTATAATCATTCAAATTTATTTTCTGGGAAAAATCTCAAGTATATAGGTATATACAAAAAACCAAAAGCCCACTCACTGATATGTCGAAAGATTGTAGCCCTCGAGCCTCGATTGATGGCACTCGTCCTCAGGATAGGTCTCACCTATATGCAAAATAACTGAATAAATGTTATTTAAAGCACATATACAAAACTAGGAAATAACTTCTCATACAATGCTCGAATGGGATGTTTGAATATATCAACGTGATCTACTCAACACCATGAACATCCTCATACTTTGAGAAAAATTTTCCGAGCACCCACACGCCCTCATGGGCCAGCCAAGGCACGGCCAAACACGCGGCTCATGTGCCTGCACACTAAACGAATTCCCTAACAGCGTTAGGGAATATTCTGTTAAATATAAGTATATGCCGTTAAAGTTACCTGACGGCATTAGAATATTCCATCAACTTTGACGGAATATTCTCATCCTTCTTCCTTGGTTCGTCGGAGTCCGGCGCCGGTCACCGCTGCAATCGCCGAAAACTGGGAAAATTTTAAAACTTCATATCTTCTTCAGTTCTCAACCAAAATTCATGATATTTGTACCAAAATGAAGCTTACAACTAGAAGAACAAAACCTTACCAATTTTAAGCCCTAAAATCCACGGGATCTTGCCGGAAAAAGGCGCGATAATCCGGCCACCTCTGCAACTCTTCGAACCCGAGCCTCCCAACGTCCAAATCACTCCAAAGTTACTCCCCGAGCTTCGTGAAGGTGTTTTAAGGCTCCCATAACCTTAAAATTCCTTGAAAACTTCACGATTACGTTTGCATGAACAATACATTAACTCGGGAGTTTTGGTTCTCTGGTTTTCGAAGGTTCCACGTCCAACCAAAGGTATAGAACAACTCCTAAGTTTACTAGGAGTTCAAAGATGTCAACTACAACCTCGATCCGCGACTGGAAGTGTTGGTTTGGAAGTTGTCCGTACGTTGTACAAAAAATGGATGAAATTCAAGAGGGAAGAGAGAGAGAGGGTCAACAGGAGGGTGATAGTGAGGGTGTGTTTGTGTGTGGTCCAGGTTTGGCCAACCAAACCAAAAACAAATAAAACCTTAAGTTCTAATTGGGTCCAAGTACTTAGGAAAGAAAATAATTGATCCACAACCACAACTTAAACCACACAACACAACAAACGTTCAAGGGCACTATAGACATTTCACACTATCGAGGAAATGTTTCGGGACAGGTTGTGACATAAAATGTACTCATTCTTAAATATAACAATTTGTTATATGTAAAATGTACCCTTTTTTTTATATATATAATCTATTCAATTTTTTTCTAATCCATTTTTAAACTTATATGGATACATTCTTTTTTTCTTTGATTTTAAAATGTACCCATGTCAAGTTTAATCGAAGAAATTTAATAATGTTATTAAGCCTAATATCTTCTCTTTTTTTGTGATTTTTGAAGAATGTCCCATGTTTTGATACAATAAATTTTTTGGTTAATTTTGATGAATGTACCCATGTATACACACACACACACACACACTAGTATATTTATATTTTTAATATTTTTAATCCCACAAATTATGTTTTTTTTAATTTAAAATCTCATTTATATAAACAACTAAAATTTCTAATTTATAATTTAAAAAATATAGTAACGTACAAAGAAATAAATTATCATATTAATTTCAGGAACCTTGATCAAAAATTAAAAACCAACAAGGTTTCAATAAAAGAATATTCATAACTATGGACCGCATCCAAAGTCTCATTTTTCCTAATCAAATGACATAAGCCATGCCGTTAGTAAAATCTGATTCATACATAACATCAAAGGTGTCCTCAATGGAAATGGAACATTAAGTCTTTTACAACTGTCCGTTCTCTTCAAGAACCCTAGCTAGGATGCATTGGAAATTTAGAAGAATGACTATTAACCACCCTGCAATTTTTTCGTACTTCCCCAGGCTGATCCACCGTCAAGTCACCCATCTTTATCATGCCCTTCACAAAAGCCTTGAAAAATTCACCTTGATCAATGCTGAACAGCTTCACAAATTCCCTCGTCTCCGGAAACGTGAAAAGCGTTTGATCCGAGTTCAGAAACCCTCTTCCGGCAACCAAGTCCCTGAAGTACTGGTTATCAAACTTTACAGTCGTAGCATCAAGGTCTCCGGTAATGTTTTGGTCCACGTTTAATGGGCAAAGCCTGTCTAGCTTTTGTCTAAACTTTGGATCAATGGCAGGGTCTGGCCGGCCACTTCCGGATTGGTTGTACAGCCGAAATATGATGGAAAAGCACCGAGCTTTGCCAATAGAGTGTGACCCCGAAAGCGCAACAAGGTCTTTGACAGAGAGATTAAATTTGGCAAACAGGCCAATGAGGAATGTCGCATTGGATCTTGGACTTGGCATAACGTTGTCTGAGTCTTCTTTTCTTGCTGTTAAGCTATCCAATCTTCCCAACTTCACTTCCCAGTAAGGGCCCCCTGTCTAATAATCACACAATCATGTTACATAGAAATTTATTCCTTTCAGTCATACTTAAGATTCTCATCATTCACTTGTTACATCGCATTGGAGCTCATTATGGATTAGACTATACTAAATGTAGCCAAGTCAACCCGTACAACGTTAAATTTTAGGATCTGTTAGATAATTGTTTTAGTTCAATTATTAGGTTTTAGTAACTGAAAATTAAAAGTTAAATTTTGTAAACTCAAAAGTAACGTTTAATTTTCAATAAAGCAGTTACAAACAAGTTTTTCTGGTAATCAAACGGACCTTAATGTACGTTGGACTAAAAATAAGTTCATGTATATAGGAGATAAATAAGAAAGTTTTTTACCAGAGAAACAGCATCTCTAGACACCATGATTATAATGTCTGCGCAAGAAACAACTCCCGGACACACCTTCTCCAAGGCTTCTTTCACTTGGTCAACAACTTCATAAGATCTCAGTGAATTAATGTTTGCAAGGGCTAGTTTTTCTCCTAGCATGGTTGGTGTGTCGTCAAGCAACAATGAAGCATCACAACCCTAATTTACAGATATAATACAAGTTAATTAATTCATCATTAACAACGAACGATTAGGATTAATCAGTAAGGAAATAAAGAATGTTGTTTTGTATTTATAATTCACTTACATTGACAAAGCAATCGTGGAACTGTAAGCGCATGACTGAAGCAAGACTCCATGGCTCTTGAATCAAAGCCACCTTCATGACATCCTGGACAATGGATTTAGCTTTCGGGCAGGTTTCCGAGTAATAACCGTGGCGGAGTGCGCAGTGGCGCCGGTTATCATGTGTAGAATGAAGAGTGAAAAGAGAGGACACATTGAGGATTCTTGAGGCACTAGTCAGTGGTAGGCAGGTGAGCAATTGGTTCAGTTGTGTGTGGGGGCGCTTTTTAAACTTGTGGGCTGCATCATGTGCATGCATAGGAATTTAGTGGAAACAATGGATAGTGGATGTGAAATGGTTCATTCCCCTTCTACCAACAAAATGGAAAAAGGGTTATTAATTTGACCAATCTTCAAAGGTGGTGAAGATTCGTCCAAATAACGAAGTTATATGATTTAGTGATATTTTTCTTCATCCATTCATAAGTAAAAAAAATTTTGATTTAAATCTCATGAATTACGAATTCGATCCTAATTTATTCACTTACCTTTTAGTATAAATATATCATTAAACGAATCAAATATGAACTCGGTTAGCTTACATTAGAAAATTTATTTAATCATATTTGATTCAATAATTTAACTAAGATGTATAATAAGATGTTAATGCAATAATGTAGTGTGTACATTTATATAAATTAAGTTGAAGGGAATATTTGGTCGTTGAAGTTTTGAACAAACAAATTGACCCACATAAATAACACTCGAGTGGTCCTTATTCAATCCAAAACAGTAATAAACTTTTCCAGATCGCCAATGGTGGAAATGTGGGACACAGTGACAATTGTGGATAATCTCACTTCACAGCTTCAGACACACTTTCGACTTACTTTTCCTTTGCATTGTGAATTTATATTATTATTCATCTCCCAACACCATTTGAGCTTAAAAGTAGAAGATTAACAGTCACTAGTTCCTATTAATACAATCATTTGTTATCTCACTATGAATGGATTCTTTATTATTAATAATAATAATAATAATAATTAAATTTACTTGATACGTATTGCCGGCTTATTACATATATGATTAAACGTTGTCTACCATAGTATTATTGTCGGCTCTCCACGTGTAGGCGAGACTGCACATGAGTATTGTTTAACGGAAAGTAGTTTCGTTGGTTAAAAAATAGGGAACTTTAACGAAAAGCACTTGGTACTGTTCACTTTAACGAAAAATCACATTTTTACACTAAAAAATCAATCCTAGTACTATTCACTTTACCCTTTATTTTGTCCTTATCATTAAAACTCAAAGTTTTCAAGCCCTTTTCATTAATTTTCCTTAAAAAATATTCATACCAATCAAAATAATGGGATTTTGGAAATTTTATTGTTGATGTAAATAAAAAAGGGAAGGGTGGGAGATGCATCAGTTATTTATTTATTTATTTATTTTCATATGCAAATGTAGTGCTTTCTGACTCTGCTGTAAGAACTCTAACACAGATCGATGATATGCCAATTGAATTACCAATGTTCTGAAACAAGTCAAGTGACAAAACTTATGAACAAGAACAAGGATTGCCGAGAACATACCTGCAGAATTTGAACTTGAAGAAGCCATAACAGCCTCTGTGTTCAAAACCTTCTCCTCTTTTACGATCACAATAGCTTCTCTAATCAATAGGACTTAGAACAACATAAGCTAATATCGCAAGAGCAGTGGTTTGAACCATAAATATATAGTGCTCCTTCGTCCATTCCCTATCAGAATTGGACTAGGATTCAAAGACATACAAACCATAAAGATTCATGAGACTTTATAAAGTTCCAACACAAAGTTCTTTTCCAAAACCAATTGGAACTTCTCTCAAGACTGCATTCCTTATCAGATTTAGACTTCTTTATAATATCAATTATCCCAAGACTTATAAGAATCATACTCATACTCTTACATATGCTCCATTTTTCCCTTAGTGTACAGTATGCTGCATCAAGTTGAAAAATACTCCAAACATTTTGAGATTATACACAGATCGAGGAACGTAAAGAATGCTAGGGATTCCGGCCGATGTGTGCCTGTAGGAAGGCAGACCGCTACATAAGCTAAAAGCGCAGATTAATGTATTTAGAAACTCGTATGAACTCTTGATTCGGTTCATGCAATCGCAGTTTAATTTCTTTTATATAAAACTAATCGAGCATCAGAAATTTGCGCCTGAAATTTGTGGGAGAGTAAGCGTCATTAGCTTCTTTTTGTTTCCTTCTTTCAAACAGTACACATACGAAGAAAATTACTAGCGCAAATTGTAACAATCCTGTTGAAGCGGCGTAAACAAAGTAGTGTTAACCAAATCTCAAAAGAACCGAAAGTTGTGATTACTATAGAAAAAGCCTTGTTAACAATTTACAGCACTATGTTATATTATATGTTCATATGTTGGAACCAACGTCCACATTATGATAAACACAATAAACCAACTCAGTTACACCCCCTTGTAAATGTGTATTCTCTCTAGTCTCTATTCAGAAAGTCGGATTCATCCCCCCAAGATTCCAAAGCGTGTTGACAGGACGATGATTAACCACCCTACAGTTCCTTCGTACCTCCCCAGGCTGATCAAACTGCAAGTCACCCATCTTTATCATCCCTTCAACAAAGGCCTTGAAAAATTCTCCTTGTTTACTGCTAAACTGCTTAACATATGTCCTAGTTTGTGGATATGTGTAAAGTGTCTGATCAGAATTCAGAAAGCCTCTCCCCGAAACCAAGTCCTTGAAGTACTGGTTATCAAATACCAAAGGTGTAGCATCCAGGTCTCCGGTCACATTTTGGTCCACGTTCAAAGGGCAAAGCCTGCTCAACTTTTCCCTATACTTTGGTTCAAAGGCAGGGTCGGGCCTCCCAGTGCCGGATTGGTTGTACAGCCGAAACATGATGGAAAAGCACCTACCTTGGCCAATGGAGTGTGACCCCGAAAGGGCAACGAGATCTTTGACAGAAAGATTAAATTTGGCAAAGAGGTCAATGAGGGAGCTTGCGTTGGCTCTTGGACTTGGCATAATGTTGTCTGATGCTTCCTGGCTAGCTGATAAGCTATCCAATCTCCCTAACTTCACTTCCCAATCAGGTCCTCCCGTCTGATTTACACAAAATTATGTCATTATATCTTCAAGTGCAAACAACAGAAAGAATGGTAGTCCTTTTGCAATTTCATGTCTACAAATCTGTTTTTAGTCTTCATTTTATACAAAACGAAATCCCAAATGCGATGACACGATTCAAGAGACCACAGCGCAGATACATTATATAAAACATTTCAAATATATCAAGTTGCGCTGTAATGATAAGGAAAACATCCGGTTTGAACTGATCAGTAGCTCTTAAGTTCTTAACCAAGACCGAGCAATAACGAAATTTGATTGCGCGTTTTCCAGAATTGACAGCAAACAAAAGGTACAAAAGTCCCTTCACAGATACAACTGATAATTCCCTTAGAAAAAACTACGCCTCGGTTACTTTGAATTCCAATTAAGGACTCTTAACTTCACTTACGATGCAAAGCTTATGTATACATGTTCGGTGGCAAATCTATGACTGATATTCTGACTCTAATTTCCAAATTGCAAACAAATCCGTATCAAATTATGTACAAATTAATACTCTGTTTTAGGTAATGAAATAAGTAAGAAAAGTTTGATACCAGAGCAACAGCGTCTCGAGCCGCCATGATTACTATATCAGCGCAAGAAACAACTCCAGGACAGACCTTCTCCAAGGCTTCCTTGGCTTCATCAACCACCTCATAAGATCTCAGAGAATTTATATTTGAAAGGGAAAGTTTTTCTCCAAGCATTGTTGGCGTGTCATCAAGTAACATAGAACCATCACAGCCCTACAAGCATATTAATTTAAAGATTAACAAAACTTGGGAAAGATATAGAATTTTTTGCAGAAAGTTTTTGTTTATTTACATTCACAAAGCAGTCATGGAATTGGAAGCGCATGACAGAGGCAAGGCTGCGGGGCTCTTTGACTAGAGCCTTCTTCATGACGTCCCGGATAATGGATTCTGCTTCCGGGCATGTTTCGGAGTAATGGCCGGGGCGGAGTTGCGCGGCGGGCACGGCTATGGGCAGGAGGAGGAGGAGGAGGAAGGGGAGGAAGAAGAGAGGTGACATTAAGTTACTAGGAGGCAGAGGTGTGTGTGCCTGAATTTGGGAGTGCCTGAATTGCAGTTTTGGATATAAAGGGGCTTTTATTTAGGGAAAATCTCTCTCCCTTCACCCTTATTTGTTCCACCCTTTTAATCCATCGTGAAAAATCATTTCTTGCTGATGGAAGTTTTATTGGAACTCATATAACATTTTTCTATCTCAACTTAAAATTTAAATGTAAATTATCTTTTTTATCTTATTACCTAATAACAATTACGTACAAGATGAAATTAATAAAATAAAAAATTATTAATAAACCCACACATAGTAATCAAACCCTAACATAGAAAAAAACAAGTTCTTTTTTAACAATGATAATGATTTTAAAGTTTTGAATGCTCAAACTAAAGTATGAATTGATTTATCCCAGTTTGATTCAATTTTTTTTTTAGGATTTAAGAACAAAATCAGTGTCTTTTCCAACTTATATAATTACTAGCAAAAACATACATGATATTTAAAATCTAAAGTCTAGCTACTTGTGTGAATGTCACCTTTTTTTGTTTCATTCGTGAAGGGTGGAGGCCGTACTTTGCTTATAGTTTTGATGGCAATGCATAGTAGCAATATCGTGACTGTCCAAAAATTTGAAGGTGTTGAGTTCCTTCTATCTGGTGAAACAAATGTATGTAGTCTCCAAAAGCTTCCCCTTCTTCCTCTTGTTTCAATCCATATTAATTTTTCATTATTTAATTCAGTTGTTTGATGTCAAAAATATTTTAATTTCATGAAAATATAGGAACGTGAGGTTCAAGTAGGCATAGCAAATATGCCTTCATTTTTAAAGGTGATTTTTTTTTTATCTTGATTATGATAATTAAAACATAATCTTGTTTTGGTTATGAGATTATTAGGTGTCTTTATCGGGGAGTGAGATTCTCTCCCCTCCTAGTCTCCTTCCCCTTCCCTCCCTTCCTATTTGAATGGTTATGGTTAAGCCATATCAACATTTTATGTTAATTTTTTAATAGTCAGAAGAAGACAAAAAACAGTATGTAAGAGGAGGGGAAAAAACGGGATGAGAATAAGAGGGGAGAGAATCCTACTCTCTTTATCGGTCATGTAATGGGAGGCATTGTGCCTCTCTACTTCTCTGCAAATTGGCATAGGCCTT